TCCTAAAGTCTCCGCACCACCAGAGTGATAAGTACTCGTGTTTTCATGACATTTTAGTCTCTTTAACTGCTACAAATGTGTAAATAAAGCAGTAAACATCTGTCTGTAACAGTAGACCATGGCGTCCTCTGAATCATTTCACTTTAATGATTCTGTCACCAGCATTTGTTTCCTTGTAATCCAGTTAAACTAGTGTCATAAACACCATTATATGGTGTGGAAAGACCTGTATATTGGGCAGGTACCCTTAATACAGCAAAGAGGATATTCAGGGGATAGACTGTTGAGTTCAAGGCAGCATGTTTGTTATATATATCTTATTTGTTATATACATATATATCTTGGTGACTGCCATTATTAAACTAATATTATAGCAAGGATTTTATTTTAAAGAACTGCATGTGTACATGTTGTATGTTTCTTTATTAATTGATGTTGTACAAATATCAATAGAGATATTAATATCACGTAAGGTTACTCCATGCACCTTTTCATTACAAGTTTAAAATTTAGATAGTTTTAAAACTGCAACTATACGTTTTTGTTTTATTAATGAATTTTGAGATTCTTTTTATTTTAACCAAAAAAATTAAAATAATTAATTAAAATTAAAATAAAAATCTTGAAACCGTGTCATAGTCTACGGTTTTTTTTGGGTTTTTTTTTATATGCTCAATAAGGTTCAATAACTTTAATCGTCTCGACAAAATAACGTAAATTCTTTTCATGTTGGGTGACTCGCTGGAGGCAAAATCTTTGGCCTTAATTCAACACATTTGGATCTGACAGCTACAGTCACGAATTGTTTACGTGCTGATGTGACGAACTCGGAAAAACAAAACAAAAAAAACTACAACGTCACGTAAGACTACAGTAAAACCTTAACCTACTATAATAGCCTACACTAAAAAAATCTAATGTTTATAATGGCCTCATTTATTTAATTGGAAAGTATACTTTTAAAAACCCTCAATTATAAAACTGGATTCTCAATAATAAGCTATCTACTCATATCTCTCTTAAAAGATAACGTGACCATGTTATCTGTAAATGTATAGGCCTGTAACATACTTTATGTAACTTTTTCCATAGATATGGCCTTCACATAAAAGAGTTATTTCACTTTGCACTTAAATATAGTTAAACATGTATGTAATTAGATTTACTGGTGAAATTCCAGGCGCAACAACAAGTGCAAATGTGTGTGAGCTTGATAATGTCAGGTGGGTCATAAATAGACAAGCTCAAAGATCCCGAATTTTTTTTTTTCAATGTTTAAGAAAAATATCTGTGTTGTGGAGACTTTTAGATTTTGTCAATATAAATAGACTATATGTAATTTGAATATAGTGAGTTTTCGGGAAACTGTGGGCTGGTTTGCGGCTGCTTAATTCAGAAAAAAAGAAAAAAGAAAGAAAAAAAAAGAATGGTGCTTTGCCACGCGGCTAAATACAGCCTAATTAATGTTTTACTGTTATTGTACGCAACCACATATGGGCTATTGATGAGTGCCGTTGTTTTATGTGTGTTCTTGAATGATGATCCTGTCCTGGCACTATAACTCCAGCCTCCAGATTTATACAGGACCAAGAGAACCTATATTAGGATCAAATTTACCAAGATAATTGAGCACTGCAGCGCATCGTTATTCCTTCATTAATGTATGATTTTGATTAATAGCCTTGTCTGGAGTTCACATTGGTAAAACGAAACCAAGAACATGTGAAATTAATTGTACCAAATCACCAAGGTAATAAGGTATTCTCTTTATTCCAGGCAGGGTATCATTTCGTCCACCCAGACTAAACTATCAGGCCTATACATAAAAGAGACTTGGTATTAAAAATGTCTCATAATTATTTCCTTCACTGTTCGATGATTGTCTGATGAGCTCTTTGACAGCTATACGTTATTTGTGTTCTTATTTTTGTATTAAATTGAACACGGACTTAATGAAAATGCCACAAATGTCCCAGCTCAATATTTTGTTGTAGGTACAGCCAAATATATAATGAAACTGATCAACTGGATTTAAAAAAGAAAAAAGAAAGATATGACTTGTTCGTGATTCCGTTACAATAAAATTATATTAAAATATGTGTCCGCTAGAAGAGCGACATCGTATGGTACGAGAGTCTAAGTCTGTAAGGGTTTACATATTTTTGACTACAGACAGTGACCCAATGACATAACAAGATCACTGAAAGCAATACTTAAACATGTAGCTATATTTCTGCTGTATACCCATTGTTTATGATAGATAATTTAATGTAACCGTATTATATTGTTATAGGCTATTGGAGGATGATGCTGATGGGTGATATCAATAATTTTGTCCAGAAGGTGCAAAATACGCGACTTTGTTTTACTGGAGTGCATTATTACTTTATAGCTATACAGTAGCTTTTACTAGGCCGCATTATCAACAAACTTTTTACATCTTGTAAATGCTAAGCAAAGTAGCAGCTGCCTCACCGGTATTTAAAAATGTAGTCCGTATGAAAATATATGAATCAAAGATTAGGCTAATAGAACGATTTGAATGTACAACTTAATTATATGCATTAACAGCCTTGTAAGTCTAATATTCTATTCGTTAATTTTCTTAATACAATTAGGCTATTTATAAAATGTTAGCCTACTGTTTATTTCAAAATAGTAGGCCTATTTTCTTGCATCATGAGGCAAGGGTGCTGGGCGTTAAATATGTTAGGCTTGTTAAAGAAAATCTAGAAAAGAGAAGTATTTTCTAAATAGTCCAATTCCAAAGTGATCAGCAGAAAAAGATCCTTTTAGCATTTTGCAAATACTGTGGTGCAAATTGAACAGGCCTACATAATCATCAAACTGCAAATCGCTTACTTCAGACACTTCTTCTTGGCACCATAACCAGTGTCTTTGATTAAAAGGATCTTTCTGTGAAAACAAATAACCTCACTTCGAAAATATTGTGTTACCACATATTTACTTTTACTGCGTAAACACGCCAAAATAAGTTTAATGCGCGGCGTGATGGCGCTCAGTTAGGCCATAAACAATTCCGCATAAAATTACAAAGCTCGCATTCGATGAGCCTCAGAGATATGTAGCATGAATCGGACACAACATGAAACGGAAACCAGCAACGAGGGATTTCACATTATTTATGGTTATTATTATTAGCCTATTATTATTATTATTATTATTATTATTATTATTAACCTATTATGGTTGACTTTCCTGCTGTCATTTGTGTCTTGTTGTGCCATATTTTAGAAAAAAAGGTCTTCGAAAATTTGAAATTTTAATTTTTTTTAGAATATTTTTGAAATACCAATGAAAAGCGTAAAAAAACACAATATATGCCGATAAAAAGTTCATGATACCACAGCCTTCAATGCTGAGAAAAAGACCATTCACTACTAACCACCGCTCTGGTCCCTGGATAAAGTTCACTATGATTTTTCAAGGCTCGCGAAAGTTGGCGTAATCAAACAAACAGACAAAACATAGGTAGTATAAAATCAGGCCAAGTGGTTAGGTCTGTAAGTGCCAACACAATCGGTGCACACTGATCCAAAGAGGCCGATTATAGGCACGTTCGCGTCCTGGAGACAAGCATATTCGCACGGATGTCCTCGTTTATTCCTCTTGGTTTGCGTCAGAAAGTGAAGAAGCACCGCCGTCGGATAAGCGGTCCGCTTCTTGTGTCCTCTCCTGCTCCGACAGCTGCTCGCTGGTGGGGATGGAGTTCTTTTTTGGACGGCCCTTGGGTTTGGTCGGAGACTCTAGTCCTCCTCCTTGCAACACCTTCGAAGCAACAACGATACACATCAGTTTAGATTTTCACAGGTAGGCCTATGACAGTTGAATCATCATTGCTATGCCAATTATTATAACTTACGATTTTTTTCCATTTCATTCTTCTGTTTTGATACCATGTTTTGACTTGAAGCTGACTCAGGCCTAGAGACTCTGCTAGGTCTATTCTGTAAATAGAGAAAGATGTCGACTAAGTCATTTCTTAGACAACACCAATATGTTCTTTGCATGTAAGCTGTGGTTCCATAATTACGCTCATAACAAAATAATTAAACTAGGGAAAAAGTCAAACATTTACATTGTTTTAAATAGGCTACGTAAAATAGCCATATTGAAATTAAAAAGCGTGTTTACCTGTCAGGAGTTGAGAGATACTTCTGTTTCTCAAATCGTTTTTCCAAGCCCATCAGCTGTAGTTCGGTAAACACAGTTCTACTCCTTCTTCCTTTCTTAGTCCTGCTCAATGCATCAGCTCCAGGGTCGAGTTTCCCCCGAAGATGGAGGTCCAGCGGGAGATGATGGGATGAAGAGCCCACCTGCAGACCCGCGGCGCCGGACAGAAGCGCAGAGCCCAACGGCGCCCCGAGCGAGCAGGACAGAGGAGACACTGGAAACTTCAGGATACTGGTCTGGTCTGCTTTCAGGACTGGAAGTAAAACAATTGTATGTGTGTGCGTTAGTCATGACAATTTAGTCGGAACTTGCTGATAGTGGCATTTTCATGTCAGTTAAAAAAAAGAGTTTAGATGGATCCATAATGGTTCATCATAGTGAAAACGGATTTTTATGTGCAAATTTATATAGGCTTATAAAATAATATAACAATTTTCCTGATCAGTCTAGCTATTAGCTACAATTGAATTATATGCTTTTGAATCCATAAGGAGTTTTACGTAAGATAGGCCTACTAAAAATCTTGAATCGCGATACAGACTAATGATTAGTTATTTAAATTACGTCTTGGATTATTTTTTGCTTACATCTTTCCATCCATAACGGGTGGTGTCATTTAAAAATGTACAGTTTTATTTTTCATACTGTAATATTTCAACGTCAACTGAAGCTGCATTATTTTTCCTCAGTGTAAAAATGTTTTAATTACAACATCTTTATTTCTAAACGTTCAATTTGTCACAATAATTTCAGTCTTGATTTTTGCAGTTTCATCTGAATTTTCTTCATCTTAAATTCAAAGTTGTTGAAAAAGTGCAGTAAATGTGTCAATGCAGTTTGTTACTTTTGCACCACTATTATTTTATTTTACAGTTTAAGGGGCAAATAAAACACTTTTTTATTTTCGTGATTTTTTTTTCATGCACGGGCTGGTAAGAACTCTCTTTCCCAGAGTATAAATAAAAAAGCATGAAATGCATGCAGTAGGGTCTGAAATGAACGTGCATTTGCAATTTTTACAAGCTTGCTCGGTCCAATGCATTGAATATTTTGCGATCTGAGATATCTGATTTGTTTTATATTGGTCCGCAGAGACAATGTGGAATATTTTCCTTGTGAGTAGGCAAATCGAGAGGTTGTGCAATTTGAATGTCTCTGAATTAAGAGAAGGTTAAGATTAAGGGATTGCCCATGCCGGATCTCAAAATATCGTCTGACTGAAAGGTCACGGTACTTACCTAAGTGGTTGTGGTATGGTCTGGCGGACAAAAGGGCATGTACTCCAAATTTTAGAAGGTCTCCAGTGGGACTTGATACCTTGTGATCCGGATGGTCTGTAAGAATCTCTTCAATCATGAAACTCCTGTACCTGTGAGACCTTTGGTCTGGATGGGCATCCGGGGGGTAGTAGTGCGCCCCAATCTCCAAAGGATGTTGCATTATTATAGTTTAAATGTAGCAGATGTTCTCCGAACCTCCTGGAAGCCTGTAGAAACCTTGAGGTCACATTGAGGATTCAGATGTCCTTGTGAAGCACCGAGGCATAAATGTCCATTCAGATTTTTAGATGCGATCATTTACAAAAACATCCTCACGGTTGTGGAGAACCTTTGACATACGTAAAGAAGTCTCTGACTGATGCTCGATCTCAAAACACGAGTGAAATTGCTTTCTTTTCTGTTGGCGAGTTCCGAAATGTGTGGTCCCGTCCATGCAGCTGAGAAGTCTGATCCGCCCAGTAAGGGCAGCCTGTTTCTGTTCTTACCGCACCAGCTGAGCTCTGAATCAGGAACATAGAAATCTGAGTTTAAGGAGGTCTAGCACAACGCCACACCTCCTCCTCAGCATGCTTGGGCACCCTCTGTAAATAAAGGGAAAACACATAGTCAAAGCATTTCACTTGTGGTGAGTCTTCGATCATTTGAATAAGTTTAGTTTTAAAACGGGTCAGAGATGCTGTTTGGTCGGATATATTATTATTCTAAAATACATTTAAAAAATCCATTCATACTAAAATGATTTGAATAGATACTGTACACTTCTTCTATAGGCTAATGATGTTTCCATTTCTGAACTAAAAATGTCTTGTTGTAGGTCTTGTACATATAGGTCAGCATGTTTTTTTTGCATTTGATTTCTACAAGATTTTTTTTTAATAGTCTCGAACTTCATTTGTTACTGATCCATTACTCGCATAGCCTATGTTTCACCGACGTTCTTGTCTACAGTCTATCAGCTTAACAAAGAAATAGGTTCTGGGCTATAATTAAATTACATTAGAGCCATTTTATTAAATTTAAACTTGCAAAAAAATAAACGAAAGTCTTGCCAAAATAAATCTGAATACGTCCGAAATAAAGATAGGAGCTTATCACAGAATGACACATCACCTTCATCAATTAGGTTATTAATCATGGTTATTAATAGATATACCTATTCAGTTTTATTTAAAATTTAAACTTAAGCGACCGAGGCCCTTAAAAACGTCCGCAAAAATGTCCTGCAAGAATTGGAGGAACGTAAAAATATCGTAAATATTTGCGCTGATGCAATATAGGCTACATATAAAGTATGTAGTTCAAAAAAAGTTAACTGGGCTTTTAATTGCATAGCACCTTGCACACAGTTTCCAATTTTACTTGTGATGTTGTAATTGAAAATAAATAAAACGTTTCTTTACGTGTTATTTTGCCATGTTATAATTCGATGATTAAACAGTGGTGAATTATTTATAGGTTATTCACCATCGTCAGGAAATTGTTTTGAAATTTGAAATTGAAATTTTTTCTTGAAAATACAGTGAATCCATTTAACATGGCAATTCAAGTGTTATAATCAAAATACTGTTTGTAATCTTTCAATATAAGGTGCTATTTTTACGCAAGGTCATTAGATCAAAATGCTTACATCTTTTAGTTTGGTTTATTTTGTGTATTCATAGCATTCCAATTCATATTGAAAAATTCATAAATAGACTAATGCAAAATATCTTTAATTGTAAAGTGAGACACTTCTGGTCAGTGGTAAAGTCTCTCCTTTAGACATATGATAGACCACTGAATTGTGTCATGTTACAGTCTTTTGACATAAATTACATTTCTTTCTTTGTTTTAAGCTGTTTAGTAATACTATCGCCGTCGATTTTAACATTAACTCCAGAATTATGCAGCAGCATGCACGTTTTCTTTTTCTTTCTAGTCTTTTTATTCTTTCTTCTTTATCACACTCGATTTTTCTTTGTCTCTTCATGCGAAATTATGTTGTTTTACTTTCATAAAGTGCGTATCTATATCTGGATTTTCACTATTATAGACTAATTACTATTGTTACTTTTAGTTGTGTATTATTATATCTTAAATACTGAATTTACATATTTGCAATCACAGAAATAAAGATATTGACATGGACATTTATGTAAAGACATTTTCTTAAAAAGAAAGAAAGAAAGAAAGAAAGAAAGAAAGAAAAAGTCATTATACACATCCAACCCCTTCTCCTTATTCACCTAAAGATAGTAGGCAAGGTGGCCTCTGGTGGGAGCGCTTCTGTATTTCAACCACTAGGCGACATCATGTGAATGCTGCATTGCAAAGCATCAGTGTATATCAATAAGCAGATGTAATTATCGATTTTTTATATATATGTAGTCTTTTACTAGCTGCATGTGTGCACTGAAAACACTGTTCAGAAAAAAAATAGTTTTAAACTGTATAATTAAACAGTGGGGCTATAGCCATTAACCGTGCAGTAGCCTACTGTGGGAAGTGGGACCACTTCAGCAAAAGGCTTAGTGTGTTAAGCTACTATGTGCTTAACCATGTGCACCACCAAGCTTCCTATAAGACACCCCATGCCAGTCTAGAGCATCATAAACATCCATCTAATCTGATCAGGCATGCCTAATTATATGCTTACAGTGGAGTTCACAACACTGAAAATCTGGGATTCCAAATTTAATTTAACTTGGGGGAAAAAACTGAGTATTCTAGAATTTTGAAATGTTTAAAACAGGTCACCAATTCATAAGAAATTTTGTGGCATAAACCTTAATTAGATTAGACGCCATATTGAATTTAACGAGGTCTTTACAAAGGCGCGCACTGTAGGCTATAAGCATTTTTATGCAATATTTTTGTCTATTGAAATGTTGTCTATTAAAAGTTTTTATTCGGGAAGACGCTTTGACATCTGAACACTCAGTACGTTGTTAAAAAACAGTAGGCTACAGTCCATTGAATTCACTGCAGATACTTCTATCACTCAGCCTCGTTTTCATTTCTGTCAAAAATTAAAATGTGGCGCTACCCAGACTAAGGTCTATTGACCACGTGAACTCCTTTTACTAAAGGTCAGATGTTCTTGCTTCTTGCACTATTTTACTATTTTATTATATATTATAGCCGTCTTTATTATACATAAGCTAATGGTAATTCGTGACTACCATATGGAATTTGATTTCATGGTTACTCTTTATTTTAAGGTGTCCTTGTTACAGTGTAATTATACTTTTAAGTACTGAGTAATAATCCTTAACTACATGTAGGCCTACTTAATATGTGGTTAGAGGTATATATGGTATATACGTTTCCATTTAATTATGCATAATTTATTGTTATTATAATAGTAAGTATATGTAACATGTGTAACTAGGACACCTTCAAATAAAGTGTTGCCGATTTCATTATTTATAATGGCAGTGATATGTATTTGTAAGTACTTCAGTTCATTAGTTTACGTAGATCAAGTACACTATTAAGATGAGTCAATAACACTTAGCATGAAACTCAGCCAAATGTACTGCTCCTCAAGTGTTTAGCCCCATTTCCTCATGCGCTCGCCACTCTTCACCCGTGCTTTATAGCCCTCATTTGATCACATGACCACGGATCGGCCAGTGACAAGCCTTATCTATTTCCTCCAACCTGTTACAATGTAACATCCCCTTGAGCAGCGAAACTGATACAAATGCACGCGACAACTGTCTGTTGTTGATCCATGCTTTTGCATTTCACCATGACCCCAATGGAAACAATGGTCTTTAGCTAACAAAAACCGGATACAGGGACCAAGGTATGTAACAATCGGACACATGAGCCCTAATGTTAGCCTTTGCTTTTAGCACAGTAGCATTAATGGCCAGCTATCTGAGAGATGCACCGCTAGAGATTAACCATACAGTATATTAGTTAATCTAGTGATCTGCTCTTTAAACTCCTTTATTGTGTATTTGTGTCTCGATTTTGTTTTGAAACGATGCGCATAAGGGCAAACGCTTGATCTACAGAGTAAAAGGGGAAAACAAGCTGCATTGTCCTTCTCGTGAGCTGTAATGTATGTTACTGCAAATTAATGAATGTTAAACATTCATTTCTGGGATCAAAGCAACATTTAACACAGATGAAATACTGAAAATATATATTACATTATCTTATGGTAAGTCTTTTGAAAGCATGCTGTTACAGAGCCAGTGCCCTCTTAATAACAATGTTATATTTGTATGTATAGGATGCCTTTATCCTATAGTGTCCAGAATATTATACTGTGTGTGTGTGTGTGTGTGTGTGTGTATACACATTATTTTCCCATGTGACATTTTCTTGTTATTGTGTCTGTCCAAGCTCACTTGGTGTTAAAGTGAAGAAAAATAGTATAATAACTACAGCAACATCTTTGAGCTACATTATATTAGAAATGCAATAAAAGAATGAATGAGAAAGAAGTGGACAAAAGGAGGAATCAGGGTCGTAACATTGATATTTTTTATTTTTATTTTCTTTAATTAGTAAAAAAAAGTTATTTATTTTTAAAATAACCAAAGCAAAATTGCATTGTCATACACATCAAACAACATAACAACAATTGTGATGATAATAATAATAATAATAAGAATAGTGATAATAATATCTGAATTTATTTTTGCATGTTGCATATAAAATGTACTTCACTCCGTAATCAGGGAAGCAGTACATTACAAAACCAAATTTCTCCTTTGACCTTGGGCTGGAATTCATGATGCAGTTTAGTCTGGATGTCTTATATTGACGTAAATAAACTCCAAGCCAAATGTTTCCCATGATAGATATCTGCATAGATCAGTAGCTACAGAAACATCACGTGTACTTGGTGGTTTCTAAGGAAGAGGGCATGTGAAGGGTCAGACACTGAGCCAGCAACAACAGCAAGATTTCTCTAAACGCTTCAGCGAGTGCTATGATTGGCTGAGGTAACAGTGTATCTGAAAGGCCATGTAAGCCTAACTAAACACATTCACTAAGACATTTAAGCTGTCATTTACAGTATGCTGAGAGGTTGTGGCTTAACGAGACATGCTGAATAAACTAAAAAGCCTTTAACTCTAAATGATAATTTCATGCTTTATTACATAAACAGTTGTCATTTTATCAGCACGGTCAACAGAATAGTAGCTATAGTGGTAATATAAATCAGTCAGTAGTCTGGTTAAAAATGAATGCATACTAATCAATGTGCAAATTTAGCAATAACACTAATCTGAAAGTATACAGTCCTTTTTATAACTCTGTTGGTTTTGAAAAGGCTTTGAAAAATCAGTTCAATGTTTAGATGAAAGTAATCGCCGCCCTTTGATTAAATCCAGTGGGCA